GCTCTTTCACTTTTGCGGTTTACCACTTGCATCAGAACGCATTTCGCCATTCAAAACACAACGTAAGGGTTCCTCCACTTGTTGACGATCACAGTTCATGGCCACATTTCGAATTTTTCGCGGGTTTTCAAATTTTGTGCGCATGTCTCAATTTTGGCGGAATATTTGGGTGATTACAATATGAATGAAAAGAGAAATTATCACTTTGGATTTGGACCGAGCTCCGCTGTTGTCGCCCGAATTGAATGAAGCAAAGTTAATGAACTAAGACTACGTCGTGAATTGAATTCTCTAATCACACGCACACATAAAACACATGTTAAATATGGTCGAAAACACAAAATGTCGTTTGGTATGCACGTCGCTTTGAGAGGCGCGTTCTAAAATTGAAGCCATAAAACACATAAAACATAACACAAAATCAGCATAGAATCTCTTTTCCCTCTTCGAATCCACGGCGACATTTACTTCATTACTAATTTTCAAAGAGAATCAATACATAAAATTAAATCGTGAATACCGCCAACTTTCTACCCAGAAATTCCATAGACGAGCTACCAAATCAGCTAGTGATGTGAGTGTATAATACAGGCCGTATAATACCATGGTTTAAAACCGTATTATACGGTATGTATAAAATGTTTTTATACCACTGGTATAAAATTAAATTTTTAGGTTATGTCAATCGTAATTTTTTTAACTTATTAAGTTACATTAAAAGCAATTTATCATTGCAAAATAATATTTATGATTATGAGGATGACAATGAGAATATCCTCAAATTGTAAGATGATGTAGATAATGATGTCGACATTGCCGAAGATAACATCAGCGTTGACGTTGATGAATCTGAAACAAATGAAGACTCAGATATGGAGGTAGAAGAAGCTTTCATACTGCACGTAGTTGATGAAGATCAATGAAACAATAGTCTCTACTTTTGTTAATTTTTTTTTAATTGACGAGAACAATGTTTTATTTTCATATTCACATAGCTTTTTTTCAGAGAGTAGAAAAAAGTTTTATTTTCATATTTACATAGTTTATTGTTTGTTTTTTTATAATAAATTCTTCGTGAAGAGTTTTTGTTTTATTTCTCTACTAATTAGTAAATCACCAGATGACATTTACCATAAAGCTAAAAATGAAAAATGTTGGCGCCAAAATTTGAATATAATACCATATAAAATACCGTATAAAACGGTATTATACCATGGTTTTATACCGCAAAAATAAAATACGGTATTTTTACATCACTACAAATCACATTAGCAAAAATGCTAAAGTTGCACATGGTTGCCTATGTAAATTAACGCAATGCGATTTGCGCCGCTTTTTTTTCCCAGCGCGAACTTGTAATTCAAACTTGGACACCACATTATTAAAGTGTAAAGTTAAAAAATGGTGTGGCGGAAAATTTATATTTTGGCAAGTGAATTCTATTTGCACTAACCATATCTACAGTACCCAACGTGCGATTAGACACTCCCATTAATGAGATTTGTTTCTTTCTTCGCAAAAGGGGTAGCCAGTTAGACGGTCTGATTCACGGCGGCCAAAATCCGGTATTGTAGATAAACATTCACATGAACTATGATCAACAGAGAAAACTCTCAAGTTGGGTGCGGCCTCGTCATTCTTTTTCCTCCACGCGGTTTCCTGTGTTTATTCGATAAGAGTAAAAATCTTCTGAGTTTTGAACTGGGCGCAGTGAGTACTAACATTACAAAAAAGCAAAGAAACAAAATTTTATTATGCCACACTCTGGCCAAAATTTCAAACAACAAAGAATATACGTGATGTTAAATTATGCATTTATTCGAGTTGCTCGAGTCAAAAGTTCCGAAGTATGAATAATACGTACAATAACTTAAATAAAAGCATCTAGAACTTCAGATATCGTTATTAAAATGATTTAAGCCTGAAAAAGTGAATTTCCGGACACGTGTTTTACGGAAACAGTTCGATTATTGTATTAGACTAATGAACAGTTAAAAATCTTGTAAGGATCCAATTCGAATTTTTAAATTTCAAATGAATTTCGCGCGCACAAGAAACGGTTGGTAAGAAGAAGAGGTTGGCAACCAACCTCTCCAAAAGAAACAGACGTGCGCAAAGCGAGGGTGGTTTTGTCTCGGGTAAAACCGCCACTTCGCTTTGACCGCTTGGAACAAACGGTCGACTTCCTTTCGAGCGCTTCGAGCAACAGGTTGTATTTTTGATTGTGAGTTATTCTGTGCCTTTTGCTGTTGTTTTTGCGTTTCCAGTGTTGGTCCGTTCCATTGGAAAACCTAGCAGCCCCCGTTGAGCCATTGGGTGTTCCTGATTTCTCATCGTTCTTACGACGAGGTTTTTGCGTTCCTTTTGGCGGTAAGCCGTGTCGAAATCTTCGCATCTTTGGAGAGGTATGTTTTGAACACCTGTTTCGCGGCGAGTTTCAAGCCCCGACGATGCTTCTGACCTCGTGACACTTCACGCGTGCGCTTTTTTCCACTAATCTCGTTTTTTTATCTTTCATTTAAAATCCGTCGCAGTAGGGCTTTACAGGAAGTGATTTCTAGTTCGGGCCATGCTTTATTTAGCTATATTTGTGAAATCTGTATTTTGGATGGCGGCAAACGAGTTGTTATTTCACCGTTCTTTGTTCAGGCAACAGCCATTTTGAAGCGTCCATTTTGTTTCTTTTAAACGAGCACATGTTTTAACTGTTGAATCTATTGAACAAATTAACAAACATTGTGGGTCATGGGGGGACGTGCCTTTTTTTTTTTATTCCTTTTATTTAGCCCATCGTTTATAACAACGCCACAGGATTCATCGTATTTTTGCATCGCATATTTTCGACGCCTATTATTTGGAATGACGAATTCGTCCAACGCCATTTTGGACCTGCAGATTGTCTGCCATGTTCTTGTTTATGTGTTTTGGGGATATGTATGTGAAATAATGGCCCACAATGCAGCTGAATAATTTCACGTTTGAATTTTAACCAATAACTTGACTGGACACGAATTATTATTAATCTCATGTAAATTTGTTAACTTTGTAATGTCTTACCTCATGCAATTTTTCTTTATCTCACAATTTTAGTCTCAGTAATTTTCCTTGTTGTATAATTTGAATTGAACGTAAATTTCCATGCTCTACAGTTTTGACCTAACATGATATTTTATTTGCACAAGCTTATTTCACACCAGATCTTGTTTTTTTAAATCTTTGCTAAGTTTTGCTCATGTAAATATTTTGTTGATGAAAGTCTTTGTCCTGCAAATTATCTGATGTTCAATTTTAATCTCAATTAAGAATTATTTGTTGTTGAATTTTCGTAAGAGTGTGTGGCGAATTTAAATGTTGTTTATTGCTCTTTGTTGAAACTTTAACACTTGTTCGGTTGTCATTTAATATTAGAGTCATAGAGATTGAACATTTAAATGAAATTGAAGGTAAATAACACATAACTCGTAGTGTACGTGGGGCGCGCGACTCCTCAAACTGACGGGATTAATCGCGTCACCTGCACAAGCCCGCGGGTGTTGTATAGCTTCAGGAGGCGATCGCGGGTTTTTAACGCTGTCGGCTTCTGTCCATAGCCGGGACCCCACTACGGATCTGCGATCGTAACCGCCTCGTTTCGCAGGGCACGTTCGTAATGGAGAGATGCGTGTGAGCAGGCGTTGGTGTAGATAGAATCACCGTCGTGAGGGAGAACAGTGATGATCAGGAGTCCCAACCTCCACTTGCGCTACAACGCCTCCTCTGGGTATTTTGCTGTGCTCGTAAATGAAATTGATATATTTTGTTCTATATTTTGTTCGATCGCCACACTCTCATAATGATTCGGGTTCTGCCATCCAATTTACATATGTGTAGGTCTTGTGTTTGTTCGGTTTTCATATGTGTATGTCTGTCAATTCGCGAGTGTTTTTCTTTCACATATCTTAAGGTGTTTGACATGTAATATGTCGGTGAATAAAACCCCAGGGGGTTTTGGGGAATGAAGACCGATGACACCTTGGCCCTGCGGACTCGCCAGGAGGGCAAATCGAGCGTCTGTCGTTCTTCGTTTCTTTTTCCTCCTTAGGAAGGCTCCTAATTTTGTCTATTATTTCTTGCGCTCTCGACAGTGTATGCACTTGTATGAAAGAACTTCTTCCCGCCATTTTTCAAAACCACAAAAAAAAAACACACAACGTAGGTTCTCATTTGTTAGACGATCACAGCCAAGGCCAAACTTTGAATTTTGAATTTTTCGCGGGCCTTTCAAACTGTTTCAAGGTCAAATTTCAAGGCGGGAAGTTTGGGTTATCACAATCTTAAATGAATTGTGGTTTTACAGACAATAAAACAAAAATAACACGAGTTGACGAATTCGCCAAAGTTTCATAACATTTTAGGTTACAAAAACTCTAATTAGCTGATCTTACACTAATTATACTCATTGAGAGGATTGTGGGTGGACTCCTTTTGTGTAAATAATAATAAAATTAAAATTGAATGTATCTAAAGGCAACTCAAGCATTATTCAAAATGACATTGTAGATGCAATTCAGGGTGTTATTTATTATGTAGTAAGTTATAGGAGATAATTATCGACATTTTTACAACGAGTGGGTAATTAGGATCGTTTTAATGAGATGGTTAATTACTAACGGGGTTTTAAGGCCACTTCCAATATCGTCCTTACGATAGCACTTGAAGACTTGTGTGTCATATCTACTTGTTCGCAATACAAAAATCTTCACAGAAATAGTTTTTATATTGCATTAGAGGCTTTTCTTTTTTTAATAAAAAATAAAAACGGAAAACGTTCTTTACTTTTTGAACTAAAACTACGTATTTTCGCTCCTACAAAGCTGACAGTGTAGATAATACTGTTGCCCGCCCGCAGATTTTAATGACTGTAAGGCGGAGCCTTAATTACTAGAGCAGTCAGTCACCCTGCCTCACTAATTACCAGCGGGCGAGTAATTTAGTGCATTTTTAATGACGTACGTAATTACTAGCTCCTCGTTATAACCAACTGTGTAAACTGAAGGTAGCTTCTGCGTCTTCAGTTGGTGTTTTACTACGCTGTTTGACGAAGCTTCCTTAGCTGCCTAAAATGTGTTGCAGTGTGTGATCTATGATCGATTCACTAAGTGTAGGTACTTCTTCCATAACCAATAATAATCAGTGTACGTAAAAAAAAAAAATGTTTGTGTGTTCATAATTAAATTTTTAGTTTACATTTCAAGAAAATGAAACGCGTGCAGCCTGACCTCCTTTATGAAAGAAACACCACAATGAGACTCGGAAAGTGAAAAATGAATCCTTGTAGTTACAGTTCCTTAAAAATACATAGATTCTAATAAATTATGATTTTCAACTTGTTGTGATGCAGGTTGCGTCATCTTATGTCTGGTAGATGTATTATGTACTGTACCCGCAAGGGAGCCGTCTGGTAAGTAGGGTTAGTTTCGACGTAACTGGTGTGGTGGCGCTGGCTGTGTTTAATTAAAATTGGAAAATGACAATTGACAACTATCTTAACCATAGCATCTTGTAGTGTTGTTGCAGGTTTTGTTGGTAAGATTTTTGATTAATAGTAAAGTAGGTACATAAATCAATTGTGAGATTAGCACGACGCAAATAAATTTGGGTTTTAAATGATGAAATTATTAAGAGTTATAATCATATTCGTTGAGGGTTAATTAAATTAGTGTATATAGGTTAGGTTAATTAATCTATTTTGAATAACTAACTGTATATACCTTAAATGATTTGACATCATTTGATATGGTGATAATTTTTTTCAGAAAGTGTCACACGAGATTTGATCGTATGAAAAAAAAGTTTATCACATTGTAGTCACACATTTTTTTCTTGTGTAGTTTTTGTTTGAAGATACAAATTTAAACTACTTTTTAACCAAATTCAAAAGGAATAGAAGAAAACCTACAAATGATTTGTTTTTACATATAATTTTACTTGTAAAATAGGTAGGTAAGTACGTTTTTGAATTTGTAGTCAGTGATGCCACCCGTTAGAAAATTTGTTGCTCATTTGAGCTTTGTGTTTTAGTTCGAAAGCTGGTTGCACACGATGATAAATTTGTAAAAAATATTTCAGGGGTTTGTATTTAATTACCTACTGTAGGGCGTATTGTAAAAACGATTGTAATAATGTGACGAAAATACCAGTTTTAATAACAACCACAAATTTGTGTTTTACTTCAAATACCAAATTTCGATATAAATTAAGTCTTTATTTTATTTTAGCGTTATATGTTGCAGGTAGACAATAATTAGATATTAATTACAGTCCTGGATGTAAGGTAAGGTGATAATTTCCCCTATTTAATTAATTTAAGTATTTCTTGAACTTTTATTCTTTGTGTATTGACTACATATTGCATTTCTTTTTTCCGAATTCGTGCTTTATAATTAAATACGCAGTGTGTTTAGCCCATGTGTTTTTTACAGGCAATTTGAAGCTTTTGAAAGCGACGAAAACTTTTCAGGTACAACTAATATCTCTGATGAAAAGTCTCATTGGATTCAGCGTATCGAATGTTCGCTCGATCGTATCGAGGCAATTTCTGTCTATTTCTGGTTCACTAAATGCCTTGATATTATTGGATAAAAGCATTTGGAACCTGTTAAAATAAATATTTCCAGCGTTTCAAAGCAATTCCTACTACGTCTGTCTTTTTGACTACACCATACCCATTTTTGTGAAATAAATAAAATTAAATACGAAACGACCGTAAATTATATTTATTTCTGTTGTTTTTGGCTGTATTGTTTTCCTACTTATGTATATGTATTTTAAATTACAGTTAAAATAATGACTGTTGGGTTGTAGTGGTGATGCATGGTATTTAGATGTACAGTTCTATATTTTTAGGAGACGACTACTAATTTATTTTTTCTTTTGTAGAAACGACGCTAGACATTAACAGTATTTTCCCTGATAACGTTAGTATGCGTCCGTGTAAGGCGCGCAAACAAAGGACCTCTTTTAGTTTTCAAACGTTAGAAAAACTTAACGCTTATTTTGAAAAAGACCAATTTCCTTCAGGTATGTCATTTTGTTCATAGAAAATGATAATTGTAACACTATTTTTTGTTTCTTAGGTTATGAATTTAGTAGAATAGCGGACGAATTGCATCTAGAAAAAAGAGTGGTTAGGATATGGTTCTGCAATAAGAGGCAAGCGTTGAGAAAATCTAAACAATAGACTATATTGCGACTCACTAATACATTTTAATGGTAAAATCAGTAGAAATAATATGTATTTTTTAAATTTGTATTGATTTGTACTGTTGATTTGAAGAGTACATACATTTGTACCGTAGGCCATAGAGTATTTGTACTCGACATTGATATAATAAAGCATTGTTTAGTTTATTCGAAAATAAAACACTTTATTACTAACATCAGTAACAGTTAGACAATAAGATTCAGATTCATAGAATCCTTACAATTGTACGTAATTACGTTAAGTGAAGAACGTGCGATTAACAAAAGGGCGGGAAGTGGGATGTCGACATTCGACTGTTTTGTTCAATTACGAATTGATAATCGGCGTTGTACGTCAAACCAAACAGTCGAACATCTGATTTCCACTTGACGTCGTTCTTGTTGATCGCAGGTTATTAACTCTCTTTAAATATAATACTTGGGTTTCATCACAGATCATTCAGCCACTTCGTCGGACTTCGTGTTGTTGTGGACAAGCTCGAATTTGCCTTTTGCTTTTTCCTCATCCACGTGTTTGTGTTTATACTGCTGATATTCGACAGCCGTATATCCGGAAGCTCCTATCAGCAGAAGTCCAAGCAGTAAATAAAGCTTCACGTCGGTGCATAAGTATGGGCTATAGGCGTAAGTTATGACAGATCCGGTTGATTCCCACAACCGGAAATTGCTGTAAGAAGCTTCTTCTTGGCCGGGGAAAAGAATGCCGCTCAAAGCTAAAAATAAAAAATTCAATTTAGTGTAAGCCCGATTCGAGGTGCGAGTGAAATTTTAAGTTTGTCTGTTTGATGGCTCGTTTGTGTTTATGCGTAATTTGAAGTATTTTTAAGCTTGACACTTGACACAACAATCGATTCAGTAGTTTCGGAAATTATCTGTTTAATAAATATCGACACAGACAAACGACAGGCAGACAGACGGAAACGAGATACCTATTTTTTTGAACAATGTAAAATATATTTAAACCAGATAGCCAACGGTAAAATGTCCGCCCAGCACTAATAACAAGCTTAATTTCAAGTGTTTATGTTTATGCATCGAAAGAATGTCACATAGAAATTAGTTTGATTTGAACGAACTCGTCTCCTTAAAACAGAGGACTAAAATTATTAATTACACACAATCGAACAAAATGAAAAAAAATTAGAATCGACATATTTTGTAAATCTATAACATTTTTTAAATTACAAAAACTGGGTGGGTGTTTATTTAAGAACGGACCTAAATTTAAATTCGATAATGTTTAAAATCTTGTTAATCTTGAATTAAATGTCATCGCGTAGTGTAGATAATAAATGATTTGTAATTTTTCAGTTCCATTTAAACACCTAAAAATAATGTTCATAAGACAAAAAAGTTGACATTTATAGCCTGAAATATAGTTTTATATTTTTTTGCAAAACACAATAATGTGACTTTTTTTATTCAACCAACTTCGTAACTTTTATAGTTTCCGAGCTCATAATAGTGAGACGGTAAAAATTTATCACCTTGTGTGTTCTAATATGAGGCAAATAACTAATAAATTTTGTCAATTTTATCGACCCTGTAGAAAAAAAATTACAATTGTAGGTGGTAAGTAAAATTTTAACCGAACAAGGATGTCGGTCTCTATAAAGGTTTACATTATTGTTAATTATAATTTTTTCTCCCTTAACTTTATTAAAATTTTCAAAACAGTGAAACTTGTTATCAGTTCTTGACGACAGTTCTGATGGATTATTCGTCAAAACTTTAAAACTTGAATTAGGCAAAATTTCTTAGTCTTTTGCAAATATTTCGAACATGCTTTGTCTGGACACAGTATTATAACAACCAACTCTGTATTTTGGGCAGTTTTTTTAACAGTGTTTATTTCACAATGAAATTTCGAACTTTTTCCCTCTTCGTTTTTGACTGGCAAGATAAACAGAAAATATCGAAAATTAAGCGAGGAAATAGGCTTTTAAAACTGAACTCGGATAAAAAGTTTGCAAACAAAGGTTTGAAGAACGGACAGATTTAACCCTTAAAGGACCATCCTGAACCTGATCAAACAACACCCTTCTGGTCTGGTTTACTCTTGTCTTAAATACATGTACAACATCATCGATGTTTCAGAATATTTTTTCAAATCTGTTCTAAAATAATACACCAAGGGTTTCCGAAATTCTTTCTAGTCCTTTCTAAAATAAAACACCCGGAACCCTCGAGATTTTTTTAAAACCACTGTAAAATAAAACACCAAGAGTCCCTGAGTTTCACTTAAGTCCGTTCTAAGATAAAACACCAGGAAACCTCTAGATTATTTGAAAACCATTCTAAAATAAAACACTAGGAGCTCTCCTAATAAAATCCAGTCTAAAATAAAATACCACGAACCCTTGAGATTCTTTCAAAGTCCCTTCGAAAATAAAACACCACAAGCTGTCAAGGTTCTTTCAGATTCGTTCTAAAATAAAACACAAGGAGTCCTGGAGATTTTTTCAAATCCGTTGTAAAATAAAACATCAAAAGCCCCCGAGGTTCTTCCCTTCTAAAATAAAGCACCACGAGCTCACGAGATTCTTTCAAAACCGTTCTAAAAGAAAACATCAAGATTTTCCGAGATTCTTACAATTACGTTCTAAAAAAAACACCAAAAATCCTTGAGCTTCTTTGAAATAGTTTCTAATTTAAAGTACCAGGAGCTCTCGAAGTTCTTTTAAAATTGCTCACAAATAAAACACGAGATTAATTCAAGTCTGTTCTAAAATAAAACAACAGGAGTCTTCGAGATTTTTTCACAACCGTTCTAAAACAAAATACCAGCGAGTTTCCGAGATTATTTCAAATACGTTTTAGATAAAACCCCAAAGGTTCCGAGATTATTTCAAATCCTTTCTAAAATAAAACACGAGGAGCCCTAGAAATTCTTATAAATATGTTCAAAAATAAAACACGAAGAGTCATGAAGACTCTTTTAAATCCGTTTTAAAATAAAACACCAGAGGTCCTAGAGATTCTTTCAAGACATAAAACAATAGGAGTCCCCGAAATTCTTTCAAAACCATTAGAAACTAAAACACTAGTATCCCCCGAAATTCTTTTAAGTCCGTTCTAAAATAGAACACCAGGAGCATTCGTGATTGTTTTCAAAACCATTCTAAAATGAAACACTAGGTTTTTCCGAGATTCTTTCAAGTCCGTTCTAAAATAAAACACCATAAAGCACCACGATTTTCTGAGACTCTTTCAAATCCGTTTTAAAACAAAACATCAGATGCCCCCCCACAGATTTTTTGAAATCCGTTTTAAAAGAAAACACCATAATACCTTGAGATTATTTCAAAACCGTTCAAAAACAAGACCCTCGAAATCCCAGAGATTTTTTCAAATCCATTCTAAAACAAAACACCAAAGGTACCCGAGATTTTTTCAAGCCCGTTCTAAAATAGAACACCAGGGAGCAATTGAGGTTTTTTCAAAACCATTCTAAAATAAAACACCAGTATTTTCTGAAATTTTTTGAAGTCCTTTCTAAAATGAGAACCAGAAGTCCTCGAGATTATTTCCAATCCGTTCTAAAAATACAGCAGGATGTTTTGCCATTCCTTCAAATCCGTTTTAAAACAAAACATCAGAGAGCCACCAGATTCTTCCGAATCCGTTCTAAAATAAAACAGCAAAAGCTCTCAAGATTCTTTCAAAACGGTTAAAAAATAAGACACCAGGAGTCCCGGAGAATCTTCCAAAACCATTATAAACTAAAACACCAGAAACGCCCGAGATTCTTTCAAATCACCACGAGCCCTTGAGATCCTTGCAAGTCTGTTCTAATATAAAACACCAAGAGCCTTCGACATTCTTTCAAAGCCGTTGGAAAGTAAAACACCAGGATTGTCGAAATTTTTTCAAAACTATTCTAAAATATAACACTCGGGACCGACGAGATCCTTTTAAAACTGTTCTAAAAGAACAGATCAGGATTTTCCGAGATTCTTGCAAATAGTTCTAAAATAAAATACCAGAAGCCCCCGAGATTCTTTCAAATCCTTTCCAATTTAAAGCACCAGGGGGCCTTCGAAATTCTTTTAAAACTGTTCAAAAATAAAACACAAGGAGTCCCGGAGATTTTTTCAGATCGGTTCTAAAATAAAACAGGAGAAGTCCGCGAGATTGTTTCCTATTCGTTCTAAAATAGAACACCAAGATTTCATGAGATTCTTTAAAATCCGTTTTAAAGCATCAGATACCCACAGATTTTTTGAAATCCGTTCTAAAATAAAACACTAGAAGCCCTATAAATTATTTTCAAACCGTTCAAAAATAAGACCCTGGGAGTCCCAGACACTCTTCCAAATCCATTCTGAAATAAAACACCAAAGTTCCCCTAGATTCTTTCAACTCCGTTTTAAAATAAAACACAAAAAACCCTTCGAAATTTTTTCAAAACCATTGTAGGATAAAACACCATGAGCCCTAGAGATTTGTTCAAAACAGTTGTAGAATAAAACACTCGAAGCCCCCGCGATTCTTTCAAAATCTTCAAAAATAAAACACCAGGAATCCCGGACAGTTCTTCAAATTCGTTATAAAATAAACTATCAAAAGCCTCGAGATTGTTTCAAGTCCGTTCTAAAATAGAACATCATGGACCCTCTTAATTCCTTGTAAAGAAGTATTTTGCAGTTAAGCTCCGCCGTCTTGGTTCACGGCGAATAAAAAAAATCATCACAATAGAGATAGGGCGGGTGGGCGGGCTTATACTTTGCCTTTTTGTTTTAATATGTGTAGACTTCTTTCCACAACATGAAATTTAAAACATGTGTAAAAAGGAAAATTTGTATAAGAAAATATCGATTTTGCAATTAGGCTCCGCCGCTTAGTTGCAAAATCCATGTTCTAAGTTTCTTGTTGTGACAAGATGGCTATGTATATTAAGGAAAAAAGGCAAAATATAAGCCCCGCCCACCCGCCCTGTCTCAATTCTGATGATTTTTTTTATTCGTCGTAAGCCGAGGGGGAGCTTAATTGAAAATCTTTATTTTTCTACGAGAAATTCCCATGTGAAATATGTTCTTAAGTAATCGTGTTATATAAAGAAAACTAAATGTATTAATTAAAACAGAAAACCAAAAGAGAAACCCCACCCACGTGATAAATTTTTCATTCGTTGTCGGACCGAGGGGCGGTGCGTAATTGCAAAATTGATATTTCCCTATACAAATTTACCATTTTAAACATGTTTTAAGTTTCTTGTTGTGAAAAGATTAAGAAAAAAAGGCAAAATGTAAGGCTTGCCCACTCGCCCTATCTCAATTGTGATGATTTTTTTCATTCGTCGTGAGCCAAGTGGGCGGAGCTGAATTACAAAATTATTATTTCTCTATAACTAATAAAAAAACATGTTTTTGAGTATCCTGTTGTTCAAAGAATACCAAGTATATTAGGAAAAACACAAGCCAAAAGATAAGCCCCACCCGTATCCATCCCAAACTAAATTGTGATGAATTTTTCATTCGTTGTCAAATCGAGGGGCGGAGCCTAATTGCAAAATCGATACTTCGTGAACGGATGATATAAACGACGCATACCTTTGCTTCCTATTTATCTTACAACGGCAACGTCAACGGCAACTTTATAAATCGACCTTTATTTGTTACAAAATTACCACTTTAGCTCGTAAACTTGTTATAGATTTATTTTCAAACTCAAACGTTGAAAAGGGAAAAAGCATGTAGGAGCTACATAAAAATGAGTATGGTACAACAACGCGATGGCGTCATCTTAAAACGTGGACTTCTGTGATTGTGCTCAATGGCGAAAAAATTTTTTTTTAAATAACTTCGGACCAACTTTTTTTTTCTTAAAATTATTAATAATCAAAAGTTAACAAACATTTTCATGTAGTTTTAATAATCACAAAAGTGTGACTTTTCATATTGTATTGCTTTTCATGATTATAAATGTTTTTAGATAAATGAATTATACCCAAATCAATGTATTCGTGATGTACAAATAAGTCAAAAAAATGCTCTCAGAATGTAATTCGTGTGAAAACTAAATCAATCCGTCCGACTGTTTGTGTCAAATTTTATTTTAGAATTTTTTATCGCATTAATTCGAGACTCCACAGCCGCAGTATATACGCCCCTCACGGAGAACAACGTATTCCAAATTTTAATAAAGCCGAAGAAAAGAATTATGGCTGTGGGTAGCGCCGAGTCGTTTTTTTACTTTTCATCTGTATTTGTAAGCAAAGTTGACAGAAAGTTGTCTTCGAGCGCCTATCTGAAAAGAGTAGTAATGGTGCGGACGCTCTCAACACGACTTTGCTCTTTGCACTATTCATTAAGGTACCCAAAATGACTGAAGTTCCGCGATACTCACAATTGATCTGCACCAGCCACACTGCATCGCAGATTCCCCACAAAGCGGCGATAACAAAGAAAACTAGTTTATTGGAGGAAGCCGGCTGCCAGACGAGAAGAGTCACAATGAGCGCCACGTGTAGTGATAAGGCGAAACATATGACGGGACTCCTTCCGGTTATTTTGATTAAGTTTCCGATGAAGATGGCGGCGATTCCGTTGCAAACTCCAAAACAGATCATCACGAAGCCGATGTTGCTGATGCCCCAACCGCAGGAAACGTAGGCCTGGAAAAGCGAATTCTGCATTAAGTAGCTTGCAAGGATTAGTTTACAAGAGAGAAATTTATGGGATCGCTTAAACATAATTTTAGGGGCGTCCTGAGCACAATAAAAAATCGTTTATTATACCTCCTGCTCTTCTGCATTTTTTATTATATTGCCAGCTTCTACACACATGACGGAGGGAGTTTTGCCTCATAAATAATGCCACGACTTGAAAACGTATTAATTTCGGGATAACGACTGGATGGAGGAAGTGTGATGGAAAAAGATATAAATAACGCGGTTTTATTAGGGATTTTTCTATTACAAGCCTCATTTATAAGACCCCGGAGTATTTTGGATTTCGCGAAATTTGAATCTGGAGGAAAATAGAAATAAACGCACGTGTGTGGGTGTTTGTTCCAGATTTTTATATGTATTGCCATGCTTTCATCTTCCCACTTTGGGATCTAAGAAATGAGCGTTTTAATAAATGAGAAAAGAATAACATAAATACTGAAGTAATAGCTACGGTATGAAATCACAGGTTTCACAAACCCATTCTGTACACAAGTGTCATACAAAATTTTTTCTTACAAACTTATTTCATCGTCAGTTTGGAACCAGTGTATGTAATAATGGTGAGGATGATGTTATCAAAGAATAAAATTGTTGATATTAGTAAAAATAATAACGTTATTGTTTTTTACGGTAGTCTGAGGACTATAAACTTAAAAGATTTGCGGAGAATATTGAAAGCTTTCTGACAAGAACGGACCATCAAAAATTTCTGATGACAAAAGTAGGTACATAGTTTAAATCATATGTTGCTAGCAGGGGCGGCTGGTACCGGGGGGCACAAGGGCACGTGTCCCCCCAAAATTATAACGTCTACAAACACACTGGACATAGCAAAATAGTAATTTTCAATATATAAAAAATTATCCGGAAATTTGTGTCATAATTATCAAAACTATATATTTTGTTTTCTCGCTCCACTTGTATAAAATGTATCAAAACTTACATCTAAAGACGTGTGTCTTGGATGTATGATATCTTATTGCTGATAAAAGGCGGGCACAGAGACCGTAATCATGGCTGATTTAAACGTTTTTTACACCGTTGCCATAGAAACCACACGTCCTAGCCATTTCAGTCAGTGGGACTACGGTCCCGTTCTGGCAGTGCTCGGCAGGAATAACTCAATCGCGGGTTTTAATTTTCATGCTGCTCGAAATAGACGTAAAACTGGTATGATAAATATTCTTGGACGACCTTTTCGGTAATACGGACATTCGAAAACAACTAAACACCGCCTATGTTAATAGTATTCGGGCACATAACGCAAGAGTCGACAAAAATCGCCATATATTATGCCGATGTGCATAAAATTTTATGGAGTGTTTGAACTTCCTTTACGTGGATATGACGAAAGTGGGGAACCACAAAATCCAGGTATATTTCGAGGTCTGATTGATTTTACGGCTGAATTGGACTCTGCTTTATATTATTTGAAGGAAGCAACGGTTTTCAAAGGAACGCCTAAAACTGTTGAAAATGAACTTTTAGATGCCATATACGTAAAATTTTAACCGAAGGCAAAAAGGTATGTGGAAAAATCCTTCTTTGCTTTTATTGAATGTACTTTTGTATTTATCTCCTGTTTTATATCTTCATATTTAATTTAACTCACCAATCAAATTGTGTCCCTCCTTTTCAAACGGTCACGAGCCGCCACTGATTGCTAGTAAATAATAATTTAAGGACGTATTTGTGTCACATAATGTAATCTTTAGCTAACTGCGGAAAATTCAAGAGAAAGAGCTTAGTGAAAATTGTCCGAAAATATAGAATATGTGTAATATTAAGATTTTTCATTGTATATACAGGGTGAGTATCATAACAACGGGACCCTGATCAAATTTCAATGCAACATATACATATCTCATATGTACCCTTTTTATATTTTATTTTTCTAAAATGTACAAATATAGTTACTTAGTAGTTAATTTTGACTTTCGCAATAATTCTATTTATCAATTTTGAGCTCCGATAAATTTTTAGTAATTTGGTGTTTTCTTATCTTAGCGACTACTTGCTAAGAAATGACTGATTTTGGCAAATGAAATACCCTCTAAGAAAATGAAGGGTGGGTGGGCGGGGCTAGTACTTGGTAAGGTAAGACTGATTTTGGCAAATTATATATCCTCTAAGAAAATAAAGGGCGGGTGGGGGGGGCTAGTACTTGCTATGGTATGCCTGATTTTGGCGAATGATATACCCTCTAAAAAATAGAGGGCAGGTGGGTAGGACTAATTGAAAAATTTATTAATTAAAATTGAATGTTACCTAAATAGATTCCTTAATCACCAAAATAAAATATGCAAATTTTTGTTTTGGAAAATTTTACCGGGACTATCTATCAACACGTTATCTATTCAATTCGTTAATATAATATATGCCAGATTTTTTTGTGGATATTTTTAGACAAATTAACTACAAGTTCATTTTTTTAATATTCCGTCTACTCTATAAAGTGCTTAACCTTTCAAAAATTGTTTCTTTATTGAATTTAGACTTTCAGAAGTCGTTTTCTGTTTAATTTTTTTGAAAATTGTCACTATTGTCTAAAATCACCACATCGAAATATATATATGCAAATTTTTGATAAATTTAAAAACTCGACTTTGAAAGCAAATATTTTGAAAATTTTTGTCCGGGTTCACTAGCGTGCTATCGATTTAACACTATTCCAGAATTTTTTGGGGAGTTTCAGATGACTTGGCCAAAAATTTAATTTTTTAATACCTCTTTCCCCATCACTTTTGAAAAATACTAGAGGTTCTTTAGTGGATAGACCTCCAGAAGTCATTTTCGATTTTATTTTTTGGAAATTCTTACATCTTCGAAAGTCACCAAAACGAGATACGCAATTTTTTTTTCTCCGACTACATTATTTAGGTTAACATCGTATGAAAATAAAAGTCAGGTTTTCGTAAAGGTCGTGGCATTATATCAGCTTTAGTGGGTGTTGCAGATGATTGTCTTCCAGCTTTGGATAAAAATAAAAACAATGCAGGATTTTTCAAAGGAGTTTGATACTCTCGATCATGATTTACTAGGTACTAAATTAGTTTACTTAGGAGTGGGTAATGTTCGAGTTGGTGTTTATAACTTTGCAGATCCCACAGGGTTTGACATTAGAACTAACCTTGTTTTTAATGTATAGTTTATTTATCAAAAAATTAAGGATTTTCTAAAAGGTGTGATGTTGCCGGTAATCTTTAAATCTATTGTCATTTTGATATCAAAAACGTTAAAGATAGTTGTGATAATACTGTATTAAATTAAGACTATTATAATAAATAATATCCTTCATATTGGTGCAAATTTATTGCAAAAGGTTTCTATAAATGATTATAGGATCATAGTAGGTCATGGAAGTGTGCCGCCTATCACTTCATGCGAATTTTAGTAAGTGCCCAAAGACAAGTACTACAAGTTTTGTGTATAAATGGTTGCATAAATTCTTCATAGCTTATTAAAAAATAAAACTAATTCATTACAATAAAAAAAATACATTTATTGTGATTAGACATCACAGTAAATGTTGAAATATTTAAAATTTTGTTCAAAGCACATGTTCACTCTCTTTATAAATTAAAATTGTTTTGGACCCATTGTTCAATTTCATGTTGCAATAGAACTCCTAGTTGCTACACAATCTTGTCAAAGATGTTTGCGGATTCTGCTCGAAGCGTCTCACATCGTCAAAAACTTCCTCAGATACTGAAGGTCTTTCAAGAGATTTCCCTTGTTGACACTGGCAGTTCGAACAAATCTGTTGAATACATCTCCAATGTGAGACCCTAACGATGTTTTGAACTTGCAAAGCAGGGTATTTGGCTAGATATTCCTGCTTACAAGCGGTTACAAAATACACCCTTTTCGAATGTTCCATTGGAATAATAAAGACAACAATGAAAGTGTCTTGTTCAACAGAATAAGCGATATTCACGGTCTCCGTTTCCTAACACAAAAACAAAATTTTCGTACGCAAGCACCAAGAGTTTTGAAAACGACTGAGCTTGTGTCAATGAGAATTACAGTATAATCTCGATAATCCGAATTAATTAGGGAAAGGTGTGTTCGGATTAGTGATTTGTTCGGATCAGCGAATTTCCCAAAAAGCTGAAAGGGAATTGAATAACAACTTCATATACTGCTGAAAACAAATTTCAAGAAATAAACCTAACAGAAATAAAGTATTCTTAACCAACAATGGATAACAGATACATTCGAAAAAAAATTTTACTCTGTGACCATAACCACGCTATATTTTTGGACGTCGGGCTCTATATCCCTGAATTTAATCACAATTTTTATTATGTATTCGTATTACCTCCCGTTTGCAAATTTCTTTTTTTATATAAATATGAAAACCGTGTTTCAGTTATGATTAAGAAAAAAACTCGTTATTTTTAATCTAAGCAACGCTCATTATACTAAGAAAACTCGTAGATTGTTATTCAGTTATTTTACGCTCAAATAATGATCGATAATCGAAAGGTTCATTAGATTCTATATGCCTCATTACTGTTATCCTGTGTATTCAGAAACAGGTGCTTTAGTGTTAAATATAAATACATCCTTTGTTATTGGAACCCTTCGAACTTTTAATACAACAAATATCTGTTAATTACGCATAGTCTAAAAATAGTACAATTTTTTTTAACGAAAAGGGATAGGTAAGTTAATCCGAAATTTGTGTTGATCCGGCAATATTTTCGAAATAAACAACATTATAATTTAAAACTGACCCAAATAAACAACTTACGGCATTGAAGTCAGCTGCGATGAAGGCCTGTTCAGCTCCGATGAACATCGTAATTGGAAGTATTAATATTTGATAGGGATTGGCAAGTTGTTTCATAGTGACTGCAAGGAGCCTGAGTCCAGAGAGGCCGCTTCCGCTGCCTTTTCGTCCCTTCCCATATCTAAAAAAAATCGCAGGTTAAGGACAACGACTCTCAAGGAATCTGGTTTCAAGCGATACTTAGACACAGACATTGTTGGCATTGTAGTGTTTACCTCTGCATGGGGTCCACGAAGATGGCCACAACCAAGCAGGCAGCGACCATGCAGGCTAGATATATCCCTGTGATCAGATTAATTTTTGACGTTTCTGGAGGGTGCAGATTAGGGTTGGCTGTTTGGGCCTCTGTTCCAGGACAGAAGTTGGCGCCACATATATCATTCGGTCCTTCGCTCTGTAGGGACGTAGCCACGGTCTCGGATAACAACGATGTTAGGTTGGAAACCGTCGTGTTGGTTAAAAGTGCGGTTGGCTCGGGGATTCCACCAGACGAGAGGACTACAATACAAGAGGAATGTATTAATGAAGGACGATTTCTGTAATCTGTTAGGTTATCGGAAGCAATAAACTGGAAATAAGCGGACAATAGATTTAAACTCGAAAAACATTTTTTAATTAAGGTAACGTTAATTCATTCAGCTGTTAAATTAGTTGCTTTGTTAAAGCCATATCTACTTTGATTAACCATATGTATACAGTCTTCTTTAATTTGAGATTCATTTTAATTCAGATTTATTAAGGTCTTTGGCACAGCGATATGTTGGTGTTTAACTTAAGGCTGTTGCTACACTGAAATCGGTAAGAAATGGCGCTGGTTTTGGTCGTTCATCAGAATTAATACGAAAATAGCTGCCTGGGGAACGAACGATAAAACTAATTGCTGTTTTATTATACAGTGTTTCTTGAGAGCTTTTCATAATTTTTAGCGAAGAGGGTTCAATCTATGATGTGCAGTATGGGGAAATTGACAATTGACCTACCACTGCTTAAAAACAAGACGTGAAAAAAGTGACAGATATTTTTTTTTGTGTTAGCAAAAATAAAATTTCAAGACGTCGTTATTCAACATTGTTCTTAACTAAAATTTAAGTAACATATTATAGAAATTGTCAGTAGTATTACAGTACGATATATTTCTGAGTTTGATATAGAACTTCAAGAATTGTGGTATGCAAAAACAAACACGATATTGATTTTATCATCATGTAGGTACTCGTGAATATTTAACATACACATAATCTATAAAATAAATGTGTTCGCTCGTTAATTTTTTTGAGTGTCCACTTTGTAAGCAATAAAAAAGATAATATTGTATTATACAGTATTAATGTGTAATGTTTAAATAAATATTTAAATACATATTTGTTAAATAATTTTTTGAAATGACTTTATTTAATGTTGTCACAATTTCAAAGAACTTCTATTATGTGTTTTTTAAGAAGTCATAAAATAACTGATTTGATAATGTGTGTGTAGTTTTAGTGAATATTAAAAAGAAATGTTCACACGCAGAATGGAAACCTGAATTTTTGTATTCTCTGATTTGTAAAACGCTAAAATTCACACCAGTGCCAATACAGGCAATATTAAATCTGAATTAAAAGGAAACCGGCATTATTGGTAATAATTCACTAAAGTAATAAACAATTATTGAAGGAATGGAATATACGGCTTAAGGAGGAGCTTAAAATAATAAGAGAAGAATTAAAGCACTCAAGAGATCAACTACAGGAGCAAAATCAAGAAATTAGAGATAAGCATGAAGCATAATGGAAGCTAGCTAAGAAAGAAAGGGGAAAGAGAGTGGTTGAAGTAGAAAGTCAACTAGATCCAATGGAGAGAGAAAAGAGAAGAATCAAAGTAGTGATTGGAAATAGGAACAGGAGAGCAGAAGCAGATCATTGAAAAGGTGACAACATTTTTAGAACAGAAGGCTAAAGTAGAGAGTAAAGTTAAAAGCGCGTACAAAATCGTAGAGAAAGTTTATGTAGTGGAATTCGAAAACAGAGAAGAAAAAATAAAGGTAATGAAAAGCAAGAAGAACTTAAAAGGGTCGTCAGTTTACATAAATGACGATCTGACGAAAACGGAAAGAAAAATTCGAATCAAAATTAAAGAAGAGGCAACAAAAGAGAGAAATAAAAGAAAAGTGGTTAGAATGGGATATAATAAGTTAACTTTAGCTGGCAGAAATTTTGAATTGAATGAAGATGAGGGCAAACTCAAAAATTTCTGATGACAAAAGTAGGTACATAGTTTAAATCGCATATTGCTAGTAAATAATTTAAGGACGTATTTGTGTCACATAATGTCCTGTAATCTTTAGCTAACTGCGGAAAATTCAAGAGAAAGAGCTTAGTGAAAATTGTCCGAAAATATAGAATATGTATAATATTAAGATTTTTCGTTGTATATACAGGGTGAGTATCATAACAACGGGACCCTGATCAAATTTCAATGCAACATATACATATCTCATATGTACCCTTTTTATATTTTATTTTTGTAAAATGTACAAATATAGTTACTTAGTAGTTAATTTTGACTTTCGCAATAATTCTGTTTATCAATTTTGAGCTCCGATAAATTTTTAGTAATTTGGTGTTTTCTTATCTTAGCTACTACTTGCTAAGAATTGACTGGTTTTGGCAAATGAAATACCCTCTAAGAAAATGAAGGGTGGGTGGGCGGGGCTAGTACTTGGTAAGGTAAGACTGATTTTGGCAAATTATATATCCTCTAAGAAAATAAAGGGCGGGTGGGCGGGGCTAGTACTTGCTATGGTACGCCTGATTTTGGGGAATGATATACCCTCTAAAAAAATAGAGGGCAGGTGGGTGGGACTGATTGAAAAATTGATTAATTAAAATCGAATGTTACCTAAATAGATTCCTTTGTTGATTTCCAGTTTTCTGTTTAATTTCTTTGAAAGTTCTCATTACTTTCTAAAATTACCAAATCGAAATAGGCAAATTTTTGATAAATTTAAAAACTCGACTTAGGAAGAAAATACTTCTTTTGAAAATGTTTGTCTGGGTTCATTAGCGTGCTAGCGATTCAACTGGTCGAGGTTTCTATTCCAGAATTTTTTGGGGAATTTCAGATGACTTGACCAAAAATTTCATTTTTGAATACCTCTTTCCCATTAAATAAAATTATTGCCATTAATTTCCTAAAAAAAACCTGCATTAATGGCAATAATTCACTAAAGTAATAAACAATTATTGAAGGAATGGAATATATGGCTTAAAGAGGAGCTTAAAACAATAAGAGAAAAATTAAAGCAAGCAAGAGATCAACTTCAGGAGCAAAATCAAGAAATTAGAGATAAGCATGAAGAATGGAAGCGAGTTAAGAAAGAAATGGGAAAGAGAGTGGGTGAAGTAGAAAGTCAACTAGATCGAATGATGAGAGCAAAGAGAAGAAACAAAGTAGTGATGATGGGATTGGAAATAGGAACAGGAGAGCAGAAGCAGATAATTGAAAAGGTGACAACATTTTTAGAAGAGAAAGCCAAGTAGAGAGTAAAGTTAAAAGCGCATACAAAATCGCAGTGAAAGTTTATGTAGTGGAATTCGAAAACAGAGAAGAAAAAATAAAGGTAATGAAAAGCAAGAAGAACTTAAAAGGGTCGTCAGTACATAAATGACGATCTGACGAAAACGGAAAGAAAAATTCGAATCAAAATTAAAGAAGAGGCAACAAAAGAGAGAAATAAAGGAAAAGTGGTAGAAAATTTTTAGTAAACAGCCAAAAGAAAAGGAAGAAAAGGAGGAAAAATGAAAGGAAACAAGGCAAAGGAAAAGGAAAAGGATACAGATAGGGAAATCGGAAAAAGGGAAGCTGGTACAAAATTAGGAGAAAAAGGGGTGAAGGTACTGTTTTGGAATGTCCAAGGGTTGCGAAAGAGACATGGGCACAAAGAGAAAATTGGGAGAAATTTGAAGAGACGCTACCACAAGAATATGTGTGGGAGTGTCAAAGGGCGAGAAAGGAAAAGAAGAAGGGGAGAGCAAGCGGGGGAATAGTAATGGGAATTCGAAAAGAAATGCAAGAATTGGAAAAGGGAAGTAACAATAAAAACGGACAAATGAAGAAAATAATACAGCTGAATAACAATCGATGGTGGAAGATAATAAACGAAATGGGATGGGAAATTTTGGATGGAAACAAGGAAGGAGATGAAGAAGGAGAATGGACGTACGTAGGGGCTAGGGGAGAATCAATTATAGACTATGGGATTGTCAAAGAAGAGGCGTGGGAAGAAATAAAGAGTTTCAAAGTGGGAGAAAGGGTAGAATCAGACCACATGCCACTAGAAATAAAAATCAAAGATACAGAAGTAGACTAGAAAAAAAGAAATTCGAAGTTAAAGAAGATATAGAAGCTATGATAGCAGAACTGATCAACTTAATTGTAGAAGCTACGGAAAAAAGAAAGATATACATATGGCAAGGGAGGAATAATGAATGGAACTGAGAATGTAGTGAGTTGAAGAGAAAAGCAAGGGAAAAATTAAGAAAATGGGAGAATAACAGGGGAAGGAAAGAAGAGAGAATTATAGGAGAAATTTCACAAGGGATATGCGTGTGAAGAAATAGAGAGAATGAAAGAAATGTGAAGGAGTATGAAAGAAAAACTGAGTGTAAGAGATAAGCATATAGATAAGCAAGAACGCAGATCGAGAATATCGGAGTCTAGATATAATGCAGAGTATAGGAAAATAGTAAAGGATGAGGTTCCAAAGTACATACACAGAGAGAGTATAAAGGAGAAGAGAATGATGGCAAGATTTAGGTGTAGAAATGAAAAGAAAGAGAATACTTTTCGGATGGATGAAACTGATAGAAGGTGTAGGATATATATATAATAGAGCATATTCTGGAAGGATGTCAAGGACTGAGAGAATCGCAGGAAAGTAGGGAAGAAGTGCTAAACGAGGATGGAAGAAGACTGGAATGGATGACAGAAGTACGGGGGATAAGGGCACTAAGGCAAGGGGTGGGCAAGCAGAAAGAATAGAAAAATCGTTATTATATAAAACTCGAATTTTATTATAAATAAAATAAAAAAAATAATAATAAATTAATACTACTACTAACAAGGCACGAAATTATACCTTTGGCAAAATGATCTTGGGAAAAATTACTTTGTTTAGCTATCGCTCGATATATAAAAAAAATAGTTTGTGTCTTATCCAATATTAAAATCTCCATCAAAGAATAATCAACAGATAATAAATTACCTACATTACTGTTTTGTTGAATAACCTCACGACGGATGTACTTAATTATGGCAATTGGAAAGACACTTTATTAAATAATCTTGTACCGAATGTTCTTTTCTTACTATCGATAGTCTTGAGGTATTTTTAGTAACGACTGGATATACTTTTATAGTTTGGTTTGCACCAAATGCATTTTACAGAAAACCAAGTAGTTGAAGGTGTGTACAGCACATATGCACAGAACTGATTTACCACTGTTGTTTTTTAGATGATCCGCTTAAAATAATACGACTGTTTGCAATCGATAGTTTTAATACTATTTTCGGAAAATTGCTCCTTGCCATAATATTTATTATATTTTTATCTGCAACCCTTCTACAAACTTATTACATATGTTTTGACTTCAATGGCGACGTTTTTCTTAAACAAGCACCTGTCTATTTTACACAAATTTATGTAAGTGATGTAGCTGTAATTACTTATAATTTCTACAGACCTTTTCCTAGATGCTAGTATGTATTTCGTTCATATTATACTACAATATAATCTTATATGACTTAAGAAGAGTTTCTCCTAAATGGCAGTTCAGTGTGGCAAAAAGCATCATGAAGAAAACATTTTGCGACGAATGTTTTTATCTAACACTGTTTACTCTTATCCTTCTTAGCCTAACAGTTGGTGGTAGTATAATCTTTATAATACCAACAGAACAAGAACATGAAATATTTTTTCTCTACGACTGGATGGGCAACCATTTCGTAGAAGGGAAATCTGCTGTTATTATTTTAATTAAATTCAGTTTGATATTCCTAGCTTTAATACTTCAGATACCATATTGTCAAATAGCGTATTCTTTCCAGCAACAAAATTTTCGTTTCTACTCTTTGATTGATCATCTCGAAAGCGTAAATGCTGATTTCGAGGATGTATCTCCAAGTGACTTGCTTTTCAACCAAATTTATCACCAAAGTATTCAGGAAAGATTGGAATACTGTATAAAGAGGCACATCGAGTTACTCAATTTGTTCAGAGAAAGTCTTAAGCAAAGCGAAGTGATTATATTTCTGTTTTCGGTTGCAGGTGCTCTGCTTTTGATTAGTGTTTTATTGTTCATCTTACTGGTAAGTGTTAAATTATTGTTATATCTTGATTTTTAACTTGAATAGGTTGGAGGCATGCCTTCTCTGATCTACATTAAAATGGTATATTTCTGTATTGTCTGTCTAATAACAGGTGGAGGGTATTTTGTGTCTGGTCAGTGTACAGAAGATAGTGTAAGTATGACAGTTACGGTTAAGGAGTGAAGACAGTGGAGGATAACATTGTTAATTTATTTACAGTATGGTGAAATTTATAAAACTCTTTGTAAGACGAGTTGGTATTACTGGAATAATAGTAATCAGAAATACTATTTAATATTTATGATGGTTGCTAGCAAACCTCTCAAAATTAAATTTTCGAGCAATATAGTGTTTAACTATGACTTAGGACTTAAGGTAAAGCAGAAAAAATAAAAATTACTAAAGTTAACTTGTCTTGTTTTAGATTGTGAGAGCTGCTTATTCTACGTGCTGCGTAATGTACCGCAAGACTCACAACATACAGTAACACTTAACAAACATGTGTAATACGTTTTCAGTAACTTTCATTGTGTGTTACAGTGGTTAGCGTCAAGAGAACATTTGTCTTAAATATATGTATAAATAAATGAGATTGTTAAATCAAGTTAAATTTTTAGAATTTGAATGCACCTGAAATATTATAAAATATTTAATGGTAGTTGTAATATCATTTTAATATGATTGAATTAAATGATCCATAAAAAATGTGTTAAATTATTTACATATATTCAAAGAATTATTGTTAGTGTACGATTGTTAACGTTTATACATCGAAAGAATGTCACGTAGAAATTAGTTCGATTTGAATTTGTTTCTCTTCTCAAAGCAGAGGACTAAAATTGTTAATTGAACTACATGACATTTTTAGTAAATGTACATGCAAAATTTGATAACAACTGGTCCAGCAGTTTCGGAGATTACGTAATGGATACAGACAGACAAACAGACCGACAGACGGAAACGGGAGACTACATTTTTGGTACTGTAGGGGTCATGAAACGTGAGAAATCATAAAAGTGGCAATTCTTACGCTCGGGAAGTAAAAATCAAAATTTTGCTGTAAAGACAATATTTTTGTGTACTAACAAAATTTTGTGGTTCTATGATAATCAGTGGCATTTAGAGACAGTGGTAACAAATGTTATTAATCAAAAAAGAACATACAGATTTGTTTATGAATTATTTAAACAACTAATAAGTATTTTGAAAAATTCCGCTGGCGCTATCTCTTTAAAATTTATAGAAGAGGGACACAGCAATCTCCCGAGTCGTAAACGAGTCCCACACTACCAGTGTCACCACTATATCTTTGTTACATTATGAGCAAGCGTAAAAGAAAACAGTTTTCTACGACAAAACAAGTTAAGAAAAGTTAAGTCATTCCACTTTAAACGTTATTATTGCAAGAAAATTGGATACAAAGCCTCAGAATTTGGACAAAGTAAGCGAAAACGCCGAACAACTCAATGTTCTTTGCTTATTTACAAACGAAATCAAGCAACGCGCCTCAAATTATCGCAACCGGTGCTTGCATTTCTCATATTTGTAATAACAAGGCGAAGCTCGAAAGAATAAATGTTAAAAACGTGAGCATGCAAGGTTAATTTTGAGCTGAAAAATGTTTCTGCTTCACTAAAACTGTTATCACAGCGCCGTCTTACTGACAAATAATTTAGTAGAAAGCAACAAAAATCCAATAAATATTCACTTACCGGCTGAGCTGATGAGATTCCCCCAAACTTGAGAGAACTGATAAAACATGAAAAACACGCCGAAGAATCGTGTCACGGCAATATCGGTTGAAGTTCCCGTAATTCGTCCATAAGCCTCCGCAATAACTGTCAGATAAGTGCACTTAGCACACCATAAAGGTCCTCCTCCGAAGCCCACGGCCAAACCGGCGGGAATCATCGTGTAGAATTTGGGATAAAACTGGGCTATGATAAAGGGCATGTATGTGATGAAGGACAGAGCTACAGTCCATTTGCAGCCGAACCATCTGGAACGAAATTGCATTAATCAAGGCATTATGTCTAAATGAAAAGGAATAACGTCGATGGAGGCATTCGTTATTAATTGCATTACATATTTTAAGCTTCTTTGTGGATGTGTTTTCGTTTGCACTGTTGAGTCGCGTGAATGAAAAAACAGCTCGACAGATAAATAACGATTAGTGTTTGAACGGTTTATAGACGATTCCTGAATAATTCTGGAATATGGAAATTCTAAATCCATATTGCAAAAGATTTCACGTGGCGGAAGGGAGAAAACTAAAAAAAATTAATTCAGAAATATTTCCGTTGTTTAGAATGAGTAAAGCTTTTTGTGATGACTATTGACTTGTTAACACAAAAGATTAAAATAAACACTAGTAGTGTTATAGATTAATTAGTACATTTTTCATGAGAGTTACATGTTTATTTGCTGCTCCCATTAGTTTTGTCGTTGTTTGACGATAGTTAATTTATCTGAACCGTTGAAAGCAGAGTCCTCAGAGAATACTGTTTTTTTCGATTAAACCTGCTGTTTTATTTAACTTTGGTTCAGAGTTTTTGTGAGCAAACAAATAAATTTATAACCTCGAGAGTTTAAATTTCCTGATACATCTTTATTTACATTTATTTATATTTGCATAAAAATAAATTACTTTTCGCCAGAGAATTATATAAATTTTGCATTTTACGATATTTGGAAGCACCTCTCTAATTACCGAAATCTTTTTTATGCCTTTGTTTATTAGTTTTATCCGATCGTTCCTGTTATTAAGGTACACAACATATTTTCTCTCTCAAGTGCTATACTACTGAAAAACATTGGTCTAAGGTGCAACCCAAGAAATCTAGCTTATTCGAAATTTAAAAATTTGATTTTGTTTTTTTTTTTAAGATAGCTCCTATAAGTAACAGTAAAATATCTATACCGTTAAAGTACAGGTCATGCTATGCACATATTTCTAGTGAATTTTTCTATGACAAATTTTGTGATGACGTCATCAACATTGCTAAATCTGAATGTGTAGGGTAAAGAATATAGATGGATTAATAAATAACAAGTACGCAAGTATGTTATTTTACCAAATTTATATAACATTTACTATTAAAATTTTGAGGTGATGTTATTATATTGTTGGTGGGAATGATCAGACAAATTTTGGTTAGAATTCTATAATCTATACAAAATTCCCAAAAAATTTATAAAATATGAGAACAATCGGTCCAGTAGTTAAAGTAAAAGTTAAATTCTTAAAATGCTTATAAAATATGAGGACAATCCGTCCAGTAATTTCTAAGGTTAATAAAATATCGTCACAGACGGCAGATAGCAGACGACAGACAGATGACAGACAGACGATCAACAGACAGACAGACGGAAACTGAAGAGCAATTTTTTATACTCCAGGGATCATGGAAGGTCGATAAAATATGAAATTAACATTTCACCGAATGCAATACTTCCCTAGTTTAGGTAAAAGTTAACATACGAGTATGAAAAACCGAATATGAGGAAATATTGTAGTAGGGTCCTTCTGGCGACTGGATACATTCATGTGTTCTCGACGTTTCATGACCTCTGGAGTACGAAAAATAGGTCCCCCGTTTCCACATGCGTGTCTGCCGTCTGTTTCGATTTTCATTAAACAGATAATCAATCTCTGAAACTACGGGAGGGATTATTGTAAAATATCACATGTGCCTTTACTTTGCCTAATCGTCCCCATCAAGAACATATTGACGTCCTCTCAAAATTTTTCATAGTAAATATGGCTTAAATTTGATCAAATATTAAAATAGTATAAGATAATCCTGTACTTGTGATTTATTTTTATCTCAGATACTTAACAAAAATGTTTGTGCAATATTTGACACGAGTTTCACTTGGCCAATATTTGGGTTACTTGCACGAGCTCCCGGTGGCCGTGCTATACAGGGTGTTTCTTTTATTTGATTCAACCCCTATGTTGGGGTTGAATCAAATAAAATAAATACACACATTAAGTAAATTAATTTATCTAAAAGGAAAAAATTATGGCTCAAAATCATTTGGGTTATGTGGACTTACGGAGTAAATTGTTTTTTTTTTTTGATAAGTCGATAAGTTTGCTCAGATAAGGTTAATTTTGGTAAATGACATATCATCTAAGAAAATAAAGGGTGGGTGGGAGGGGCTAGTACTGGCTAACATAAGATTCATTGTGGCAAAGACACACCCTCTAAGAAAATAGAGGACGGGTGGGCGGGGCTAATATTTGTTAAGATAAGCACTGATTGTTGCAAATGGCATATCTTCTAAGAAAACAGAGGGCTGGTGGGCGGGGCTAGCACTTCTTAAGATAAAATTGATTTGGGTAAATGACATAACTTCTAAGAAAAAAAAGGGTGAGTGGGCGGGACTAAAACTTGTTACGCTAGGATTGAACAATATTAAGAGTAGTCACTGGAACGAAGAAGGGGTGGGTGGGCGGGGCTACTGATTGCTCATAAACTTAGAAAAAAGCTAAATTTAGCCCCGTTCACCTCCTTTCTCCATTTCACTGACTCATTTTATTTAGAGTAAAATGGAAATTGAAAAATAACAGTACAGTATAACCTTGATAATCCGAATTAATTGGGGAAAGGTGTGTTCGGAATAGCGATTTGTTCGGATCAGCGAATTTCCCAAAAAGCTGAAAGGGAATTGAATAACAACTTCATACATTGCTGAAAACAAATTTCAAGAAATAAACTTTACTTTTATTAAACAGAAATAAAGTACATATTCTTGACCAATAATGGATAATAGATTCATTCGAAAAAAATATTAGTCCGTGACCATAACCATGCTATATTTTTGGAATCAACACGTCGGGATCTATATCCCTGAATTTAACCAGAATTTTTAGATGACTTTTTCAAAAATGAAATTTCCCATTATGTACTCGTATTACCCCCCTTATGCAAATTTCGACCCATTCTCGACGATTTTCGAAATTTAACTAAATACTTTTTGGGCCGCAGAAGTCACTTCTGGCTTCGTTTCTTCGATAACTTAAACCGTTTTTCTAGAATCGTCCATTGAAATATCGGAATTTTTAAGAATTTCAAAAAAATTGAATTTCACACCGAATTTTCTGAAAATATTGCTCCGTTACCATAAACATGTTATATGTTTGGAATCAGCACGTCTATTTTATGTTTATGCAATTTTTTTATTTGTCATTTTTACGATTTTGCAATTCTTGTTTTTTTTTTATGAATTAATTCATTTTTCAAGTTGGTCATTTTTGCATTTTGTTGTTTTTCGATTTTACAATTTTCCATTTGTTTGATATTTTCATTTTATAATTTTGCCATTTTTCAGCATTATACTCTTTCAATCTACAAATGTTGCAATTTTTTGAATTTCTTCATTTTTCGTACAAATTTTCAGTTTTCAGATATTGTACTTTAATTTTTCTTTTTTTCATTTTACTAATTTATCTATTTCTTCACTTTTCAATTTTCTTTCTTCAATTTTAGGATTTTGCAATTTTTCAGCTTTTTAATTTTACATTTTTTCTATTCCTTCCAATTTGTATATTTTTAATTTCTGGATATTCCCAGGTTTAAACTTTCAAATTTTCTTTTTTTAACTTTTTTTTCAATGCGATTTCTCAATTTTTCGTTTCTTCAATTTTAAGATTTTGCTATTTTTAATTTATTGATTTTTCAATTTTCAAATTTTTATCATTCTCTATTTTTCAACTTTTCATGTTTTTAAATCAATTTGTCAATTTTTTGTGTCTTCAATTTTAGTATTTCGATTTTTTAATTTAATAATTCTTCGATTTTTCAAATTTTCAGTTTTTGGATACTTTAATTTTTTGTTTTTTCAAATTTTCTATTGTTCCACTTTTCAATTTTATAGTTTTTTCAATTTTAGAATTTTCAAAATTTCGATGTTTCATCTTTTATCAGTTCAATTTATCATTTTTTCAGTTCCTTAATTTTACAGTTTTTAATTTTCACTTTTCCGGTTTTTTACTTTTTTTTTCAATTGGATTTGTCAATTTTTCATTCTTTCAATTTTAGGATCAATTTTGCTAACGACTAATTTTATTTTTGTTCAGTATGAGATCATTCATTTCATTCAGAGCGGATAAAATCAGTCACCGGAAAGAAGACCGGGTGGGTGGGCGGGCCTAATTATGTTCTTCTGTCGAGTGGCAGTGGAAACTGATAATGGAATAATGGAACAGAAATTAATAATAATTTCCTTTTTTATCTACAAAATTTTTATAGAGAGCCATTTTGACGAAACTCTAATAATTGTTGTATTTCAATTAGCGATTTTAGAAAAACGGTAGAGATTTCCGAAGAAACGAAGCCGAAAATGACTTCTGGCTATCGAAATATACAAGAAGTAATTCTACGTCAACTAATTTTTGGATATACATAGTTGAAAAATGATCGAAAATGTCAAAAGTACCAAAATCAGTCTTATGAAATACTACGCGTCGGGATATATACATCTCTGAATTTTTTCAGAATTTTTAGACAACATTTTCAAAAATGAAATTTTACACTATGGTAGTACTTGCCAAATAATCTACCTTCTAAGAAAATAAAAGGTGGGTGGGCCAGGCTAGTATTTGCCAAAATAAGACTCATTTTGACAAATGACCTACTCTTCTAAGAAAAGGTACTAGCCCCGCCCACCCACCCTTTATTTTCTTAGAAAAGTAGGTCATCTGCCAAAATCAGTCTTATCTTGGCAAGTATGAGGCTGATTTTTGCAAATGACATATTGGGTGGGCGGGGCTAGTACTTGTCAAGATACGACTGATTTTGGCAGATGACCCACTCTTCTAAGAAAGTAAAGGGTGGGTGGGCGGGGCTAATACTTGTGAAGATGAGACTGATTTTGGCAAATCACATATTCTCTAAGAAAATAGAGGGCGGGTGGGCGGGGGGCTACTACTTGCCAAGATAAGAGTGATTTTAGCAAATGACTTATTCTTCCAAGAAAATAAAGTCTGGGTGG